GAAATAAAACACTTTAATTCTCAATGCCCTTGATATTTTAAGTTACAGTGGACTAAATAAATAAATAAATGTTAGTTTTACTATTTACTCATTTCCCTAGACATTTATAACCAATGGTAAGAGAGTTTTTAATGTTTTGACAAAAATTGTTAAAGATCACAGAATAATCATAAATTTTACCATTGATTACTGTGACTGCTTTGCACAGTTTCAAGTTGCGCAGTAATATTTACAGTCTCGTACTACCATGCAAAGTGAGGACTGTGCTTCACTGTTTGCTCCCCACGGTTCTTAAGTAGAATTTCTGTTCTGGAAAGTCATTTCAGTTTATCTGGAGGTGTACATGCTCTAGTGTGAAAAGCTAGGACTGGATAGAGAGATGGATGTTTTATTTCATGATCCCCCAAGCATTGAAGAAGGGTCGCTGCCTTTCTATTAGGACATTCAGTGGGCCTTGAAATCTGTATTTCATATGTGAATACCATAAAAATGAGTTCTTACTTCCACTGAGTTTTGGGACTAGGGCTTTTTAGAACTAGTATGTGAGGTTCAGCTAATACAATTTGACTCAGCTTTTGTCAGTTGTAGAAAATGTTTTTAAAACAAGGGCTTAAAAGCCAAGGTTTAAATGGATGATGTTTTCTTTCTGTCTTAATTAAAACTAGGGGTACCAGTTGTAATTCATGCTAACTTCTTAACATATTAGTAATTACTAATGATAAAGCTAATATTTATGAAGTACTATGTGCCATCAACATTCTAAACACTTTAAATACGTATAAATATATATATATACTCTCAATTATACTGAAACTGCGTCATATGTTAGCATAAATCAAAATAATGGGTACTGTATTTAGAGAAAAATTTTGTCATTTGATTTAGTTAATGATTATACCTTTCCTCAGGTTTTCAGTAAGTAATTTGACTTATGGAAGTCCTGTTAATATCATGGAATAATGTTTTCTCGAGATTAAAGTCAGAAAATTTGAAGCTTACCAGGGACTCTGAATTCATAATATTGATATTGGGTTAGTTATTCCAAACTCGGTAAACAAAGGTTTCAAAGTAGAAAAGAAGACAAAAAAAATAGAAAAGGCCTTCTCTTTCTGTGTAAACTATATTTGAACTTGGATCTAAAGACATTTTGAAACAATGAAGCTCTAAAACAGGTGTAATGATCAAATTTTCCAGGTTTTCCAAGTTCAACTTAATTTTGTATTTTCTTTCACTAAACATATTTTTCACACGTATAACTAAATGGGATATCATTTCTATTCCTTTGGCATACCCTACAAAAAAAAAAAAGTTAGGGGGCTGAAGATCACCCAACTCATTCCTTATCTTCAGAAATGTAGTGCCTATAACCCTCCCAGATATGTGGGTTAACCTCTTTATGTATATTTCCTTGTTGTGTTTGAATCAGAACCTATACAGTGCTTTTTTTGTTCAGTTTTATTTTGTCTGTCTTTAGTTGTATTACCCTGCTTTGGTCTTTAAAATGATTTGAGATGCCTAACATCTTAATTGATTTACTTCTTCCTTATTCATACAAGTCTGTAGTTTACTAAGCTGTACACCAGGAGTTTTTATGTAAGTGCTTGGGGTAGGTCTCTGTGGTCAGATTCTGTCAGTCTTGTTAGTAAATACTCCACTGGGTAGTATTTTCACTATAAACGGTACGTGGAACAAATAATAAACCATGTTTGACAAACTGAATGTGCTCCCAGACCACTTCTGGCCCTGTTGTAAATCCAGTCCTCATTCTGAGTTGGCATTCTACCTGTTTTTAGTTCCCTACCATCAGCCGTGCCAGCCATTGCTTATTCATGAGGCAGAGTAGGTTGCATTATGAATGTATAGGCTTCTTGACATATTACCAGTTCATATTGTTACTTGCACCTCTTTTTAAATATATTTTTACTTTGAGCCTCATTTTCTAAAAGATAACTTTTTTCCTACCCTTTTCCATCAAATGGGCTTTCAAGAGGCTATATCTTTAGGCCTAGTACAGTGATGGCTTGGGTTTAAGCCAGAAAATAGCAAATCTCACATATGTGTATACTATTCATAGGTGGCATGTTTCCCAGGATCATGCTAAACCTAAGCTGCTTTTGTAATAAAAGCATCATTTCTGTTCATTAGTTTATTTTCAGATGAAAACAGATATGTAACTCCTAACCCGGTTTTACCAAGTGTATGTTGGATTACTGTGAAATAGAATTTTTCTGGTTTTAGTATTTCTGTTGCATCTCTATATAAGCTTTATTGTATGCTTTGTTACTCATAACTTGTTACTTCTTTCATTTTTTTCATTATTGTCATTTATTAACTAGGACACAAATACATTGGTAACTGGTCAGATCTCCGTGGTAGCTAAGGGTATACAATTGGGAACCAGAAAGACCTTGATTTGAATATTGGCTTCATAAGCTAATCACTTTGTAACCATGAGTGAGTTGTGTAACCTGCTGCACTTAAGTTTACTCATCTATAAAATGAAGAAAATGGCTGTATCTACATTATAAGGTTGTTAAGATTAAACGAGACAACACATGTAATGTTCTTAGCATAGAGCCTCCTACCTAGAAGCACTTAGTAAACAAAGCCAATGTGGTTATTATTTTTTATCTACATTTACTGAGCTCCTACCATCTGCCAGGTGTTGTCTTGGCTATTGGGGTTACAAAGATGAAAAAGACACAGTGTCTATCCTCAGAATCACATAGTCTAGTGGTATGGATCAATTTAGAGAAAAATTTAAAAACCAACATGATATAAGAACAACTAACCATGGCTATTTTGAGGATGTCAAGGGACATTTTATCTCCACTTGAGATCTTTTATATCATGAACATAGATTACTTTTATAATAAAAATTAATGACAGTTACAGTGTAATAGCTGCTATATTTGAGATGTATGTACATTGCCTTGAGAACAGGGAAAGCATAAGGGGGAAACCATCTTATTGGGAAGCCCTCACACCTTAGCCTTTGCATCTTCATCAGATTTCCCTCAAAGCGTGCTGAGGTACATTTCTCTGCAGGAAGTCAGACCCAAATAAAGTGGTGATCAGGTGGTATATAGCTAAAGACAGGCCATGGAATGGCTGCTGTCACTCCTTACATAGAGTCCTCCCTGGCACAGCTGCTTTGCCTTCTGAGAGTTTTTTTACAAGGCTATCTCTGTTCTTGAGTGGCATTGAGTAGGTTGAGGATAAAATGACTTACAGACGTCATAATGGGAGACTACTACCCTTTGATACGAAAATAGGCATTGCCAGATTAACTTCTGTTCATCCCACATGAGATCATAAGGCAACCGTAGGATTGACTGAAGTTTAGCCAGCCATAGGCCCTAGAGCTTCATGAACTAAAGAGCAAAGATTTTGAAAGTGCCCCTACCTCCAGGTTGGGTCGTCCTCTTCTCCCTCATTCCTAAGCAATTAGAAGTTCTTTGAGAGGGCCAGAACCAATCTGTATAAGCCTTTAGCTCCGTAGGCCAATCTAGCACCTAAAACAGGTTTGCTTTCAAGCTGATTGTCAACTTAGTACTGACCTTAAGATTTCTTGTAGCTTGTTACTTGCTTTTTTTTTTTTTTTTTTTTTGAGACAGAGTCTCACTCTGTTGCCTGGGCTAGAGTGCCGTGGCGTCAGCCTAGCTCACAGCAACCTCAAACTCCTGGGCTCAAGCGATCCTTCTGCCTCAGCCTCCCAAGTAGCTGGGACTACAGGCATGAGCCACCATGCCCGGCTAATTTTTTCAATATATATATATTTTTTTAGTTGTCCAGATAATTTCTTTCTATTTTTTAGTAGAGACGGGGTCTCGCTCTTGCTCAGGCTGGTCTCGAACTCCTGACCTTGAGCGATCCACCCGCCTCGGCCTCCGAGAGTGCTAGGATTACAGGCGTGAGCCACCGTGCCCGGACTGTTACTTGCTTTTTAACTGAATTTATCAACATTCAAATTTATAAAACTCTATTATTGCTTTAGCCCATTTAAGGAGGAAAATTATCCAAAAAATCATAAATACCAAATGTCCAGTTTTCTTATTGTGTCATCAAATTTTTTAAAAATCATATATAATTTTTTTTTCTAATTTGTTTTCATAACTTTCAAAGTAATTTGTGTTTAAAATGAAAACGGATTAGGCTCATTGCCATGATTTAGTTGTGCTGACTCGTTTTGCTGTAACTTTAGGGGTGATGGAGACCAGATTTGTGAGCTGTGGAATCTGTTCTTTTTGGATCTGACAGCTGGCTGCATTAAATATCTTGGAGCTTTTTACTTTGCATGGATATGGGAGGTTGGGAGGATGGGAACAGCAGTGGAAGAAAGCAGTCCACTTTATTTAATGCTCTGTGTTTGTTTGCTGGTTCCAGTAATAACATTGTGCAGCTGTTTGAACAGCTGCCTTCTGATTTCCTTTTGTTTACTGTTTAGGCTTATAAAACTTGTCTTTAATACCTGTTTGTTGTCTGCTTTTTCAGCTAGCTTTCCTTCCTTATTAAATATATTTTAATATGTTCTACTCTCATGGTCTAGGCATGTTTTGATGATATAAGTTAGCTTACTAAGGGAAGAATTTTTTAAATTTTGCAGGTCATGCTTATACTTACTTTCTTGTCCCTTAGCTTTATTGTTTTAGTTAAATATTTTATAATTTGGTAAATAAATTACCTTTTGAAAGTAAGTGAGAATTTCAATCATGTAAGACCACTGTTTATGTTAACTTCCAAAGTTGGCCAACAGGTAGCTTAGTCTACATATTTCAGACTAATAAAAAAAAAAAAAATTGGCAGACTAAAGGTACAGTATGTGGATTTTGTTTTAACTACTTTATGTGAACAAATTAGATACCTAGAAAGTATACACACACATACACAAGGAAAAAGACAAATTTCATATTTACTTGTCAGTCTTCTCATTTAACCTATTCGTGTAGACTTACTGCAAATTTCTGTAGTATTATGGGAATTTTATTCTATATTTGCAGGTGAGGGACCTGTGTATTGCTTATTTGCTGGTGACATTAACTTATCTCTATATTGGAGTCCTGGTTTTTGCTTCATTTCCTTCACCACCATTATCCAAAGATTGTATTGAGCAGGTAAGGCACTGTGTACCCTCTCTGTGTGAATGTTTATACCTTCATATATGCATAGTAGGCAGGGTAGCATAGTGGCAAGATTTAATATCAGACAGGCCTGGGTTTGAATACCATCTCTACTGTCTACTCTAAGTAGAGGAATGTAGGAACCTTCCTCATTCTTTCTGAACTTTGGTTTCCTTTTCCATTAAATAGTATAATACATACTCCATTAGATATTTAGATGAGCTCTGAGATAACAGACCGTGTGCCAGGCACCTTGTGGTGCTCAAATAAATGACTACTGTCACGTACATATATTTCTCTTTTTGTGGAGAACTGTTACAAGTAGATCTCATGAAATTACAAAACCTCCACAGAGAATACAGTGAACATCCTTATTTTCCAAAGCCCACATCTGGAAATGCCCTGGATAAACTATTGTCTTACTTCAATAGAACCTGGTGACAGGTCTGACTCTCATTTTGATACTGAATGGCAGGCAGCAAAACAAAAAGAGTATTTGGCTGTTAAAAAAGAAAGAGACAGAAACAATAAAAGAAAAAAAATCTTTTAATAAAAGATTGCCATAAGTAATATTTTCATTTATTTAACCCATCAAAATCTTAGGAGTAGTATAGTCTATAGTTAAATGTGACTGAAGAATTTCTTTTTTTTTTTTCATTTCATTGTATTATGGGGGTACAGATGTTTAGGTTACGTATATTGCCCTTCCCCCCCTGCCCCCCTCCCCCCCTGAAGAATTTCTTATTAAAAAAACAGCATTCCATGGGTGACTTTCTAGTCAGACAAAATTTCTCCAATAGAGCATAGTTGAATATGCAGTATGCTTTATTACAGCTTATTTATAATGGTTATTTCAGTCAAATAGTGTTAGTAGTGTTCTCATCTTTATGAGAGAAATAAGTTTGAGTTACCTCTGTTTTGATAACTTGAAATATTCTTATTCTCTTGATTTCCTTGATTCCAGAAGTTCTTTGGCAGCCAAATGTTTGCTGAAAATTTCCTTGGTATGAGCATTCCCATGTAAAGCCCACTCCCTTGGGAACAGGAATATTTGTGGTATTTGTATTTGAAAGGAAAAATAAAAATTCTTAGTAATTAACTTTTGTTTTTTAGATACCAAACTAAAATGGAGAAAGGGTCATGAAAGGAAGTAGAACTAAATCCTTTTCAGTTTAGTGATAGACTATAAACGATGATGATCCTAGGTGATGAACGCACTCTCACCTTGTCCTGTAATCTTTACTTTGAAAGTGCTACAGTGCCCCAGAGGAGGAAAAGCAAGAGAGCTAGTGAGGATAAAATATTAATAGCATTAAATTAAATCAGCCCTTTAAATCTTTGTAACAGATTTGGGTATTGTGCTTGAACCATGTAGAGCAGTGCTGCTCAGTCTATCTGTAGTGAGGGACAAGATTTTCTTTCTCGTTGTTTTAATGTCAAATCAATTACAGGCTGATACTTTTGTAAAACAGAATAAAACGGTGGCAAATGTCAAATTTCTGTAAAAGTTTCTAAACACTTTCAATTTCTGTACTTACTGCATTGAAAAGTAGTTTACAAGCAATTGGTCGTTGGGTACCAGTCCAAAACCATAAGTTGAGTAACCCCTATATTGAAAATAAGCAGAAGACATTCTATTTTATAAATTCGTATGTATGGAATTTGATTTTTAACGTTACCTCATTATCTTTCTTGGATTAGAATTTTTTAGACAACTTCCCTAGCAGTGACACCTTGTCCTTCATTGCAAGGATATTCCTGCTGTTCCAGATGATGACTGTATACCCACTCCTAGGCTACTTGGCTCGTGTGCAGCTATTGGGCCATGTCTTCGGTGACGTTTATCCTAGGTAAGGGCTCTTCTCTTGACCAGCAAGATGTGCCAAACAACAAATGACTAGGCAAGCAGGTCAGTTTAAAGTGTGACTGATCCTTTTGCTATAAAAATTTACCTAGGGAAAATGGTTACTGTGGATAGATCATTGGTGTCCTTTTCCCTGAAGAGCTTTAAAAGTAGAAGCCATTCCCTTGTCTGAAATTATTTAAAGTTCATTCCTTCTAGTATAGTTAATTAGCTCTGATACCAATTATATTTATCTTATGATTTAGTTGCTGTTAATCTACACATTACCAAGAAGTTTATAGTATATAGTACCTGCATTGGCAATGTGTAGCTAATGAGAAGCAACACTTTTATTTTAATTATTGGTCATTGACACTTATTGTATATTTATTAACATTTGTGCATTTTTACATAAATGATCAGTTGTTTAGAATTAAAGTGACATATTTAACGAGTTTAAATTCTTATTTGATATATAATGAGTTTAAATTCCTGCCGTCATTTTTAACCTCTTGTTGGGGATGGAGGAGAGTGAGTCATTTTGAAAATCTGTTTAAATCTGGTTACCCTCATCCAAGAGAAATTTCCATATGTCATTTCATGGTTTCCCTGTAGCCTTCTTGTGGATACCTGGTTAACTCCTACTCTTATATTAAGTTTTATTATAGGATTAGCCTAGTGAAAAGTACCTTATTCTATTTATTTACTCTATTTTAATAGAAAGGGCTTCATTCTGTCACCCAGGCTGGAGTGCCAGGGCACAATAATAGTACACTGCAACCTAGAGCTCCTGGGCTCAGGTGGTCCTCCTGCCTCAGCCTCCTGAATAGCTAGGACTACAGGTGTGTGCCACAACACCTAGCTACCTATTGGAAATAAATTGTCTTAAATGAAGAAAACTTTTGAATAAAATTTGAAAAAAAATTGCATTTACAGTAACCAACTAAACAAGTGGTCTTAATCAGCTCTTGTTTGAAGTGAACCGATGTAGTCTGTCCCCTCAGTAAATAATTTTAGCTGTAAATATGTTAGCTTAAAAACAAAGCAAATGTCAAGTTACCAGGTGTCAAGCATTGATAACAGCAGCAGCTACAGTTCTAATATTGCTAATTTAGAAGCCTGGAGTTCAGTAAATTTAAGACTCCTATTGTGTTTATATTCTGTGCTGTATTTATATTCACCAAAATAAAATATCTACAGTGAAGTCATAGATGGAAAAATTCTTGACAAGTGCATTATTCCTATTTTCTGCCATTATTTTAAAGAATGGTGGCTGTTAGAAGAATGTTTTTCTTCTTGGAAAAAGTCTGGAATTTCCCTTATGTGTTCTTGCCCCACCAAGAACACACTATCAATTACCTTAGTTACGAGTACTCTACAGAACATGCATACTTTGGAGCATACTGTTTGGTCTCAGGACCCCTTTATACTCTTAAAATTTATTGAGGACCTCCAGGAGCTGTAGTGTATGTGGGTATATCTGTCAGTATTTAACAGATGAAAAATTAAAACTGAGAACTTTAAAGTATTTTTAATTCCTTTCAAAATTAATAAAACCATTACTTGTTAACATAAACATTTTTTGAAAAATAACTACTTTCAAAAAAATTATTTGGTTTACATTTTCAAAACTCTTAAATGTCTTCTTTACTAGTGGATAGTTGGTTTCTGCTGTCTGCTTCTGCATTCAATGTTATAATATGTTCTTTTCATTTAAATATGTGAAGAAAATCCAGCCTCACACAGATACATAGTTGGAAAATAGAAGAGGTACTTTTAATAGCCTTTTCAGGTGATTGTGGATATTCTTCTTCACTACTATGCCAAAAGTTGATAAGTGGTAGTTTCTCATTAGTCACAATGTGGAATCTGAAATGTGTTTATGTTAAAACCTATTGGTCTATCTGGCAGTTTGGATCTTTTACCTATGCATGATTTTGTGTTTGGTCATTTGGAAAATATTGGTTAACTGAATTCTATAGATCTTCTGAATGTTGACACACTTCATTATATAGTATCAAAACCCACATCATTATTATCAACACTAATTTCACTATAAAAGTCTTTAAATATTGGAAAGCTTTCAAGGTCATGGCAACAAATACAAGTTCTCCAAAATTCTGTTTTTTATTTGAAGGCTCAAATTTTGTCTTTGGCAACAAATACTGCCAGTTGTTTTTCTTGAAGTGACAAACTCATATTCATTTTCAGGAAAATGTCTGTCGGACGCCCAAGTTTGAATGACCATAGTTTATCTGCATTTCAAGTAAAAATAGCATTTGTTGGGGAAAACAGCTAGGTTAGCTTCCAGCTCAGCCATAGAAGTACTTTTCCTCAAGACAACTCTACTTCAGTATGCAGCAGATGTGCTTTATTGTGTACTTCCCATTTGATCACACAGAATATTAAAAAGATGTGTATTCAAAGCGTGAAATTTAATAGAACTAATTAGTTTTACTTCTTTATCAAGGATTTTTTTTTTTTACTGCTTTACTGCTTATACTTCTTTTGAGACTATATTGTAGTAAAGAACACAGTATAGAATACAGATAGGTGCAACTGCTGAGATCCATGTTAAGGGGCCAACAGTTTTAACCACCATTGCTTTTGCAAAGCAAATAATGTCTTGAATTATTGTTAAAATAATTTTTACCTCAGGGACTTCCTAAAACAGTATTAGGAACCCCCTGGGCTATGATCATACTTTAGGAACCACTACTTTGGAAAATATACAAAGTTGTTTCCTCTTACAATACAGAAATAACAAAGGCCCAGCCAATAATGTCTCAAAGCTCTCAAGCGATTTTAGGGTTGGAGTTTCTGGATAAACTGTAAAATCTGGAAGCCTAATGCCTTTGTAATTCATCAAGATGTATGACTAACCACTTATTTGTGTAAATAATTTTCCTTATTTTTAATTCTCTCTGTAATCTTTATCTGGGATTAATTAACCTTTGATAACTTGAGCCTGAAGCGTTGCTTTGATGTGTATATTTGGCATTCGAGAATCATTTCTTGGGGAAATGAAGTTATTTCTTGAGCATCAAATTTCATCTGCATTATTTTTGTGTCCAAAATTGATTCCCAAACCTGGAATTGTTACTATCTAGTTAAAGTATTTAGAAAATATTCTATTCATGGTGAATAGTGAGTAGGTTTCAGTGCTTAAATCTGAAAAATAAAGACCCACCCATTTTGCCTTTCCTTTAATATAATTTATTTTTCTCCTATAAAAGTAAAATAAACACTTTACAAAAAGTTTTTTAAATATACAAAAAAGGAAATATTATCCAAAATGCCAAATTATAACACAATTATTACTGCCCTTTCAGTCTTTTCAGTGTATATCCTTCTGATATTTTTTCAGATTTTTTTGGATTTTCCTGTATGGTGAAAATCTAGCTAGCTTTTTTCAAAATTGCGTAGATATTTTTTTACTCATCTAGGTAATAATGATAAGTTATTTTTAATAATTTTAATATGTTCTGTCAAGTAAATTGTTGACTTGCTGTATCTAGGCTGTATCTTCTGTTTTCCACAAATATCTTTATAGCTTTTTTCATGGTTTCGATTGTTTTCTCAAGATATTCCGAGTAGAATTATAGATCAAGAATTGTGAATACACACTACCAGTTTGCTCCTATAAAATTTAATTGCACAAAAGGGCCAATTTCACTGTCTCATTACCAACGTTGAATGTTATTGTTGCCTTCTATTTTTGCTGTGATTTTGTCAAGCTTAAGACATTCTCATTTTAAAGATGTTAAGAATGAACTTTATTCTCATATTAGTGGTTGTAATTTGCCTATTTTTCTATTTTTTCTTTTCTCCAAACTCTCAACTTCTAGCATTTTCCACGTGCTGGTTCTTAATCTAATTATTGTGGGAGCTGGAGTGATCATGGCTTGTTTCTACCCAAACATAGGAGGGATCATAAGGTACTGCTGATAAGGGAATGGTGCCCTTTTGTGTCTTGGTCTTTAGGCTTTTCCTGTTAGAGCTGTTGTTACTGATTTAATTTAATTGTATGAAATTCCTGTAAGTATTTAAAACTGGTAACATTTAAATGTAGTTCCCTGGTGTCAGCTAATGTGCTCATTATCTTCCATTTCTGTGTATTCCTGGTGGAGAAGGGATTCTAGAAGCATTATCCCATAGCCTCGGGCACCTTTCCCTTTCTTTCCTCCTCATATTCTACTGTATTTCCTTCCTCTTTATCCAAAGTAGAAGTTATTTTTAATATGTAATATATAACTTCTTGGGGGTACCTGGGAGGTCCTTTATATATCAAGACTAAATTCTAACTTCCTTAATCCATTTCTGCTCAAAAACATATTTCAGTGCCAATTATAGTCAGAAAGTAAGAGTTTAGATCCCAGGTGGTTTTTTTCCCTTAATATCCTTTCCCTAAAAAATTGCAGCAGGTTGAGTAGAATGGGGATAAAGTTGTGACCTCAGATTCTCAAGGGAAACTGAGGTTTAGAATGATCTGATTTCTCCAGCAGGGCCGAGTCACATTTTTGAAGACTTGTATCTAAGAAAGTAACAAGAAACAAGAGGGGAGATGGTTAGCCTGACACTTATTGAATATAATGGACTTACAAGTTCCTATTAAGCTGTTCCTCAAGAAAACTCAAGTATAGAGAAAAGTAGGAGAAAGTACATATTTCTCTGTCACAGCCTCATATTTAGGTATTTTTGTTATTATCTTTGATAATGATGCTGAGTGCCACGGAGGCAGTCATCCATCTGTTCTCGTTTTTAAACAGATGCTAACAGTCCCCCAAAACTTAGAATGCATAATTAGGTTATAAAAGATCAAAGATAGGGAGCCTATCTCCAGATGTTTTTGAGGAAGTAGCCACAATCACTCAGACATAGAGGAACTATAGAGATTTGAGGGATGAATAAAAAAGTCTTTGTCAAGCAGATGCCATAAAGATGAGCAGGAAATAATATATTAACTTAGCAAGTAAAATAAGTTTTAAATCCAAATGCTTTATGTCCACAATAAATGAATCAAAAATAGTTTTGTTGCAATATCAGACTAAGGATTTATTAATAAATTGTTCTATATTTACCTTAATTGTAAATCAGAAAAAGCAAAGTACAAGATGAATATTAACCCCAAAAGCTTTTATTTTGCAGATATTCAGGAGCAGCATGCGGCCTGGCCTTTGTATTCATATATCCATCACTCATCTATATAATTTCCCTCTACCATGAAGAGCGTCTGACGTGGCCTAAATTAATCTTTCATGTTTTCATCATCATTTTGGGTCTCGCTAACCTGATTGTTCAGTTTTTTATGTGAAATATTCAACCGTTTTCTCAAGATCTTTCATGGCATTTTGAACCTTGACAACAGTTCTACATAAATTCACTTGTAAATGCTGTTGTTGCCGTAATTTTAAGTGTTTTCTAATATAATTTGAAAGCAAGGGAAAATAGTAGTCCACTAAGTATTTTTGATATGGGTGGGGAAAGGGGCCAGAAGAATGACCTTAGTCTCTTTACCTTTCTCATTTACTCACCTCTTCATTCTCATTGTCATTTCTGAGTAGAAATGTCTGCCCTCGGAAAAGTCACACTGGGTTTTGCTTTTAGAAGTATTAAGTGGGCGGATTTACTTTGCCTACAGTAAAGATTCTCAGGGTGTCACAGCAGCATATTGCCAGATCCTGTTTCTGTTTTTTGTTTCAGTGTGTTCACTTTCATTTTCTTTCTTGCTAGACCATTTCTGCAGCTTGCCCAAACCTCTACTATTTGGGACAGCAAACCAAATACCTCATTTTTAAAAAAGAAGTTTTCATGGTATCAGTGTCAATAGAGTAAATTCTTAGCTATGTCTTTAATCTCTATTTGAAGAAAAAAGGGAAAAAAACAAAACAAAACAGTATCAGTATAGGACCCAGGGTCATTAAACATATGGAAAATAAACAAAGTAGGAGAGTTTGTTGCTGTCTGACTTCTATTTTATTTCTAATCCAGTACCAGTGACCTACGTCAAAATCACAGTTCCCCAAGCCAGATTTTGCATAGGAACAAGAATGATTGTCCCCATAGACCAAGGACATTATTTTGCTTTTTAGATCCCTGAACATTGCTGTGGTGACAGGCCAGTGGGGAAAGCATGGCAGAGAAGGACCAGTGAGGCCCACAGGGGAGCAGGGGAATGGAAAAGGGGCCAGGAAGGGAGAGGCCTCAGCCCAGCATATCTTGTATCCTCTGGGGGTGGAAGTGGTTTCTGTACTGCAGAAAAGGATTCGTTTTGAGTCGTGACCTCCAAAAGGAGACCCCGTCTGCTCACTTCTGTGACTGACAGGGCAGAGAGTTAAATCCTCATAAGAACTCCTTAAATCTGAGAAAAGGGTTGGGGAATCTGGATTCTTGGAATTAACACTCTCCCCTTTTTATTCCAAACTAAAAGCTAAACCAGAATTCAAATTCATGTCTTCCATGTAATACAGCCTCTGTGTTCAGCTTAGAACTACAACTTGGTAATGTTTCTTTTCTGAAAAATTTAGATTTCTCTGAAGTTGAGTCTAAAGTTAAAAAAAATGTATATTCACATCCTAGGATAGTGTATAGATTTGTGTTATTTCCTTCCTTTGAGAAAGACAGGTGAAATGGTTTTTTAAACCTGGTAAGGGAGCCCCAGATTGAAGACCAGCCTTAATTTCTTTCAGCAAAACTTTTATCCTGCTATAGAGCCATAGACCTATATTAATGATTAACTATATTTCCTAAAGCCCTTTTTTAAAGTCTCATTTTGAAAATTCTCAAGCCCTCACAGAAGTAAGGAGAATAATATGTTGAACCCCCATATACCCATTCCCTAGATTAGTAATTGTAAGACTTTGCTGCATTTGCTTCACCTATCTCTTGTTTTTTTTTTTGTTCCACTGAAATACTTTAAAACCAAACTCAGACATTGTATTACTTCATCTCTATAAACCTTAATACACAGCTAATAGCCTTTTGAACTCAGTTACATTAATGGAGATAGTCTGAAAAGTTTTTATTAGGAGAAACAACTAGTGGAAGTTAGGTTAACTAGAAAATTCTGAAGTAGGTGTCTGGATCCCTGTGTTAACGTCTCTTAGAAGAGGAGTATAATGAATGGAGAAAAGTATCCGTCTGTACTCGAGGGCCCCTGGATCTTTATGACTTCAGAGTCTTGTTCATAGGAGACCTATGATTAGGATTCAAAAGCGAGATAGGGCTTTGAGAGATCTTCTAGGCTTAATCCCTGTTTATCCCCAGCTGCCTCCCTTGTCTTTAAAAGCTTTAAAAACAGAGTTTTCATTGCCTCTTTTCAATAATGTACTTGAATGTTTTAACACGTAGAAAAATGATTTGATGTATTTTTGTCCACTTAATGAACAAAGTGAATATGACAATGAATGTTATTTACTAAACTAAAAAAGCAATGTGGATCTTTGCTTTTGTTTTCTTTAAAAAGACTTGATAATTTAGACTTTCTGAAATCTTTTTTTTTTAATTTCTAAAATCTTATGTTAGACTTACATAAATAACTTTGCCCTCTTAAGTTTCTTTTCATGAGATCAACTCCTTTGGCCTGTTATTTGGCTTGGTCAGAGAACTCTTTGTATGTAAGTGTGTATGTCCTGGCCCACACATTAGAATGATGAGACATGAAGTCATTCAGATCACATTACATTTAAATTTAGACTCTTTCTCTACTGTCATCTCTTTGAATTTTCAATTAAATTTTTTTCACTTTTTGCTCAGACGTGGTCTAACCTTAGTTGCTTTGAGTTTAGCTTATTTGACACCCAACTGAGGACATTATAAAATTTTTTTTTTTTTGAGACAGAGTCTCACTTTGTTGCCCTGGCAACCTCAAACTCCTGGGCTCAAGCAATCCTACTGCCTCAGCCTCCCAAGTAGCTGGGACTACAGGCATGCGCCACCATGCCCAGCTAATTTTTTCTATATATTTTTAGCTGTCCAATTAATTTCTTTCTATTTTTGGTAGAGGCGGGGTCTCGCTCTTGCCCAGGCTGGTCTCGAACTCTCCTGAGCTCAAACGATCCGCCCGCCTTGGCCTCCCAGAGTGCTAGGATTATAGGCGTGAGCCACCGTGCCCGGCCAACATTATAAAATTTTAAATGTGCTGTTTAGAGAGATCTTCATTAGAAAGCCTGTGGAAATTAGTCCATAAAAAGGGACTATATTAAAGGGAAATACTTTGCTTACATTAAGTATATTTGACAAATACAGCGCAGCTACTAACTATAGAAATAGAAGAGTTAACTATAGAAATAGAAGAGTTTTCTGTTTCTACTTAGAGTTCACTGGGAAAATTTTTTATTTGTGTTTTGATTTATCTATTTCCATAAATAATTTAATAAATGACAACCTTCATTGCTTTGGAGGAGATAAATATGTATAAGACATCATTCATGTCTAAATGAAATTTTAGTCTAGTAAAGGAACTGTGTACATAATTAGCTGTGATACAAGGCAGTTTATACTGAGGACTATTAGAGAAAGAGAAACAGATTCCTTTGAGTTAGAGCCCTCAGGGAGGGCTGAGAAAGGAAGCTGAGTGGTAAAGCAGCGAAGACTTGTTTTCAGGTTCCTCCTAATAACTGTCCAAAATTTAAATATTTGGTATGTTCACCAGCAAATGGGATCACGTATGTTAAGTATATTTGCTTTTATTTTGGTAAATTGCCTTGAAGATAAGTTTTATGAGCTGGGTTTAACTGCTTCTGTATGCCATTTCTTCTCTTTGCATGTTGAACACACTATTATTCCCTTCTATGAATCTTGGACAGCAAAACACAATTAATTAATAGAGGAAATAATTAGTGACACATTGGATGGTATAAGCAGAAAAAATCTATAAAATTTTCTCTCTGGAAACTTGACTTACTTAAATATCAGTATTCAAAGTGTCAAATGTTTGAACTCGTTGATAAGAGTAGAAAATATTGATGCTGTATGTTTTCTTTACAAATTACTTACCTGTTGCTTTGTAGAATCTGGTGATGGAGGTCCCTTTTTTTTTTTTTAACTCAATTTCATCTCAATTTGAATGTCTAAAACCCAATCCAAATCTAGTTGACACTTAAACAATAGAATGTTACATTAGTTTGTCGTCCAAAGTGAAATTAATCCCCCACATGTGCACAAGCTGGCCTGGCTGGCCCATTTTACGGTTGACTGCCAACTTCACTTCTGATTATATAAACATGTATTGCAAAACAGCTCTGACGGGAACCTCATAACCTAAACATTATTCTCTGAAATGTAATTTGTTGTCCTTTTATATAAAAGAAATTAAATCAAAATTATTTTGAAGAAGAACAACTCTGGGACTTTGTTTAATTGAATCTTGCTGGGAAACGTTATTGCCTAGTAGCGCTGGTCCCAGAGTGGGAAGAAGCTGGGTTTTATCTTTTGCAGGGTCAAACTTCTCAAGTGACTTTGTGCCAGTGTTTCATGTCAGGCCACGAGGGAGCCCTTCCTAGTGTTCTGATCCTAGAGAAAGGCAAACATTATGTTGACCAAAACCTAAAATGACCATGCCTTAGGACAATATACTGTTGTCACCTCTCCTTCTAAGAACATTCAGAATGAATGTGACACCAGGTAAGTGTAGCCCACTGTCTGGCAAAGAGCTTGCTGTCATAATCTTCCAGAGCCACTTAAGTAAATAAAGAGTTCTAATTTTCTGCCTTCCCTAAGTAAGATTAATATTCCCCCCGCCCCGTATCATTGTTTTTCTCTATTTTCCACCTCTTCTGCAAAGACAAAATAAGGCTATGTCTTTTAAAAGATTAAAAACTTCTCCATCCTCCTTATTTATCTCAGGCCATAAAGTACAGGCCTAGGATAGGGATAGGAAAGAGCTCACGCTCCAGATTTTTCTTCCTTGGGCTGTCTCTTGATCTCAAGTGATCCGGTTATGTTTGGTCATAGCAGGCACTCCATACACACTTGTTTAATCGATTAACTAGTCAGGATTCTACTTTAATAGGAAACAATCAGTTAATTGCTATTTTCTAGGATTTTGTTCCACACCCCCCAAAACAATACAAGATTGGGTCAGTCAGGTTCAGGATTAGTCACTCAGTCAATATTTTAAGTACTTACTGGATGCCAGACCTTGCGCTAAGCACTGTGCACACAGTGGTGACTGAGCCAGATGTGGCCCTGATGGTTTAGCATCCTTCGGCCACCCTCCTGAGCACCAGCAATTGGGTCACCTTCCCCAGGTGCCTCCCAAGTGCCAGGCTGTTGCCCTTTGCTCTTGCCCTGTCTGCTGAATGATGTGTTATAGCCACATCAAACACACGTTTTGAAGAGATTAGCATAGGACAGTGGTGCAATAAATGGGTCTTTGTAAAGCGAACCATGTTTATCAACATAAAACTTTTTGAAATCCTAGGTTAATTATAATTACATAAAATTAAATGGATAAGAACTGGAAGGTACCATGAAAGAATGAACATGAGTGACCTGTTGAGAGGGGTTCTAAGTGAATCACTTGTGTTGTTACTTTATTATTTGCATAACATTTTTCTAATATGTCTGGAAAAAAAATCACAAAGCCTGCGCAACATAGT